CTCCAACCTACTAGCGATGGCCTCCACCCCAATAGCAATGGCCTCCAACCTACTAGCAATGGCCAGCGCTGGCCTCCAACCTAATAGCGATGGCCCTCAAGCTAACCACCCTAGTATGGGATGGTCTTCTTCACCGCTCAAGGCAGAGATCACCGGCCTGCGTGGCCGACGCAAGGACCCTGTCGAGCCGAGTCGCACCGGTGTTGGTCAGCTCCGTGGTCAGCACGGAAGTTACGGCCAAGTGCTTGGTGAATTATGGCTGGAAGCCTAGGCCGGCAGTGTGTGGTAGTCCATTGGACACCCCTTGCATGGTCCTGGTTTGTGGTATAGCAACAACTAAATATGTGGCTTTGGTGTTACGGCCGCCCGCTGGGAGCCAGGATTTGGTTCGATGATTAGCACCCGTTTTTTTTGCACCCGGTGGCTTGACACATTTTGAAAGCACCAACCAGAGTATCTAATATATATATAGTTATTTTATTACGGTTTATGCAATAATCGGTTTATAGTAGGTTTATGTAATAGGTGTCGTTCTCCCCTGAAACCAAAGGACTTGTCGCCGGCGGACATGCCGTATGTGCCGCTCTCCCAGATTCGATCCAACAAAAAGAGACACCCAACTCCCAACCGAGTGAAACGGCTCAAGACCGAGTCATTTTGGCGCAAAAATGGGAGCTTTGGGAGATTCCCTCAAATTGAGTTCCGTCCTGAAGGTATTGGTCGCTGTGCTCCGCCTTTCTCGCCTTTGCATGTCTCAAGACACGGCACAAGACGTGCCTTTTGATTCGCCCGTCGAGAGACGTTCAGCTCATCACAGGATGTGTGTCTCAAAAGACATGGCACGAGGCCCTTAGAGGCCCTTCGAAGAATAACAAAAACAAGAGGTTGATAGAACATGGCTTTGGAATGATTTGGGATGTCTCGGAGCTTCGGACCCCATAAAAGGATGCCCTTCACAGAAAAAAGCACCAAGCCCATTGATGACCCTATAGGTAGGAACTCCATACATGGGGTCTATGTTTGCTGGCAACACTCAGAGACCACAACCCTCGCGACTGGGAGGTCACCAGGGTTTTCACCCTGCAGTGGTTAAGACATGTTAAGACGATTTCAAAAGAAACAAACACACCCTTGGATCCATGAACATGTCCTTCAAGGGCACCTCCAAAGCTACACCATCCCCCCAAACTCCCTTAATTCATAAGGTCCTGAATTCAGTTTGGTGAGTCCAATTTTCAAGAATGGCAGCTCTACATGAGCTGAGGGGAGGCTCTGCCAGTACCCCTAGTAGTCCCCTAACATTCCCTGTTTCCGCAAGCACACGGATCTTTCATCTGGAAACGTGTCATCCAACGCCTTCTAACTCTCTCCATAGCGCCGCAGCCAATGCGACCCCTCGTTGCCATGCCCTGACGCGACGATGCCGGAGCACGTGCCAGTCGTGTCCCTGGCACGGTGGTCAGTCGCTTTAGGAAGCGAGAGAAATCGGCCCTGATTATTATTGTTCGATCCGTCAATAGCAGAAGGGAGAGCGCCTGAGATTTGACCAGACATCGTCATGGTCCTGCGAATTGAGGTCTAGCCTCGAAGAACGCTACAGCTATATAACCTGCAAATCCTTTGGGGGAGAGCGGTTTGGTCTGGTTTCCCCACAAAAATCCAACTGGTCCAACTGCAGACGTCCCCACAGTCCGCTGGTTGCAAAAGGTGCTCCCCCTGGAGCCGCGAAGTTCGGGGGACGCATGGGCAAACCATGGCAAACCATTCACGCCATGAAAGAGGCTCTAACTCTCCTGTGGGGTGGTATTTGAATAGGGAGACCCCTTGCCCTGGCTGGGTAGACTGGTCTATTTCCCTTCGACCGAAACCAGCGGGTCGACGCCGCCCGCCCGCCTGGGACTGTGCCTCCCTCCCTTAGGCACCTCGGCTTGGTCGGAGTGGTTCTGCTTGTCGACGAAGGCAAGGGACCGCGCAAAGGGACTGATCGAAAGGTCTCAAAACGGGTGGAACATGGTGGAGCACTTTCATGATTTTTCTGGTAGCCAGTCACTCAGTGGATAGCCTTTGACTGAAGAAAACTTTCAATTTGGCCTTCTAGGGCTGTGGCTTCACTGATTTGAAGCTTCCAGGAAAGCTTCACGACCGAACTTGATGCCCGGCACGCAGGTCTGAGCGGCCGGATGGTTGCCAGAGCGCTTCTTGGCATCGAAGGAGTCTCTACCAGGGGGGCCCCACATGGCCCATCATAAAGCTGGCTTTCCCTAGCAAAAAACTGGGTTTGTGACTGTATGGTGAAAACCTTTGTTTTTCATGGTTTGGTGGGCCCCTGGTATATGGATCGAAAAGGAGTTCCATGGCAGTGCCACATCCACTCTCACGGATTGGTACAGCCAGGTCCAAAAGGGCAGTATGCCGTGCGACTCGACGTCGTTCTTGGCTAGCCGAACGGGCCGAACGTCGGACATGACTGACATATGTCATTAGAAGGTACTGTTTAAACCCCCTAGAGCTTCCCAAGAGACGCTTGAACTAGGCCTGGTGGCCCCTAGGGGAAACGTACCACAGACCTCAATCCGGCCTAGTTCGGGTCTCTCCACCTCTCTTGGGTCGGCCCAAAACGGGGCGCTTCGTTCAGAAGTGAAACACCCCCAGCCGTTCAGGAAGACCGTGTGTTGTTTGTGAATGTTTTTTTGTGGAACGAGATCCATGGGCCATGGGGCTCGGTGTGCTGGAATATATGTGCTGAAGTCATGGGTGTGAGAAGCTGGTTCTTTGAAACTCCTTGAGCTCCCAGGTATATCCATGTCACGAAAGGGACCCTCCAAAGGGACCCTCTAAAGGTCACACTTCGTGAAGGTCACGCAGAAGCTGGATTGTTCTTCCCACCGCCCAGAGGAGGTAGTGGTTGTTTCTTGTTTTCCAAGCAATATATCTTTAAAACAACATAAACTGAATGAACACTTACATTGTCATGGACCTTCCTTTCACAAAAAATACAAAATAAAAAGCAAAATCAAAACAATATATAATGCAAACGTCACCCTGTTTTTGCCGCGCCCACTGGTTCAGTACCATACTATTTGGCTGTTGTTCTTACTGTTCAAATCTATATGACCTAGGTCCTACTTCATCCATTGAATGGGTTTTGGTGCCTTGTTGATTGTATATTGACATGGTGTCATTGTTCTGTCATGTTCCCTAATGGATTTGGCTCAGTCGTCTTTCCAGCAACGAAGCGGTCGCGAACAGCGAACAGCGAACAGCGGCACAGGCCTCGATCAGAGAGTCCCCGGCTTCGTCGGCACAGGCGATGAGTCGCCGGCGTTCGTCGGCGTTCGTCGACTTCTGCACCCTATGTAGGGCTCCAGTTTCACCCACATCCAGTTTGCTGGTTCTTTGACCTCCAAAGGAGTAGTGTTTTTCTATGACCAACTCCAGCATTTCATGAGGTCAGGCAACCTGACCTGTAGGGGTAGGTATAGTCCAAACACGGTGGCTTTGCGGAGCGAATGTTGGGAGCGCAGGTCTCCAGATGAGAGGAGCCAAGGAAATGATGAAAGATCACCAACAATCCAACAATCCATGGGACCGGCATATATTTGAACATATTTATACCGATGTCAATAGGGGTGGCTTTAAGATGGTTTTAGGGGTCTATGTCAAGGTATACCTATGCCATTCTGGAGTGTGTTCAGAGGTCAGGACTTCGTCGGGTGATGAACGGATTGGCATTCGACTGGCATTCGGTTTTCCGCTTGATCCATTTGGTGCAAACTCTCCAAAAGGTTGCCTAGTATGTGAACGTGTGTTGTTTTGGATGGCCTTTTTGGGGATGAATATGTTGGCGCCCGTTGCAAGTGAGCTACGAGCAATGGATGGTTTACCGTGATTACAACCACAACACTGTACCACCCTGCGACAGGTAGCCCCGACTCGACCACAGGTGGGGTGAACCGCACCGGATCTTGGAAACACCCCAAAACACACCAAATTTTGAAGGGTTTCTACTGCCAATCCGGATCTCAAAACTCCCAGGGTCCTGGGATGTTTCTATAGGGTGGCTTCCACCGGTGGCACCGGGAAGTGCCCACACCGAGCGGTTTCGTGCCGACACACCGCGAATCGTTGTTCTTAGGGATCCAGGAGTGCCAGGTCATTCAACAACCCAACAGGTTCTCCTGGGAAGCGGATGCCGTTGAAACGAAGATTTATGTGTTGAAGTTGGAAGCGGATGCCGTTGGAAGTCGTCTCCTTCATTGCTTGAGGCATCACATGTTGGTTTTCTATAGATGAGGGTCACCAGGCTTCTACCCAGGACAAGAACATGTATAGCTATCTTAATACAGCTGCCTTTCTCCAAATTGGGCAGGTTTGTCATCGAGCCCATTCAGTGCCAGCCAATGGCCAGGCGCAGGTTCGGTGGGTTCCAAGCCCTTTCTGTCTGGAAAGAAGTAATGTTGCAGATGGGGAATGCCGGGCCATGTACGGTGTTTAGTTATTCCAGGTGTTGGAGAAGTTGAGACAAACTGTAGTGGGCCACATTTATTAGAAGGCCACTGCAGTTGTTTTTCCTTATTCTGGTGACCAATGGTATTAGACAGACTCGTGTTCCAGCTCGGACAAATTTGTCCAGATCAGTATCCAATCTCCAACCACCTTTGTTTCCACGAAGGGAGAGGGGCCCAAGGGGCCAATTCGGATGGCACACTTCTAGGGGTTTGAGAAGAGGGACTCATCGAGGATTTGAAGCCCTTAGGGCGAAACAGGGTCGGAAGAAGAGCGGTGACGGAGGTAGGACATCATGCATGCAGCATGCAATCTCATGCCCTTATGGGGTTGCCTTGCAACATCCTATAGCACCTTGAATTCGTTTATTTTTTCGGTTGTGGCTCAGCACGTTAACGCATCATGGCGGTATGGAGGCGGTTCCTGATGAAGGACCTAAACAATCCTAAACATGTTGGGGCCGATGTGAAGCAGACCCGGGCACCCGATGTGACCTGACATCCCCCAAGATCGTCCATCCTCTGCAAACTGCAAGACATACGGCAGGAGACCCTTTGGGCATACAGCGTCCTCTGTGGACGGACGATCACTGATGATCAGCGTATACATGCGTATAGTGTATATATAAATACGTATTGTATCGTATTGTATGGACTTGCGTAATGACAA